TGGGGCAGCATCTACTCCTAAGACAAGACCAGTTACCCAAATAGCCACCAATGAGTCTGGCAGCAGGTCCAGCACCCTCACGGCCGTGGTGACAGGGTATTCACAGAGCAGACACGTGAAGCTGCCACACACGTCATTTCTGGGCTTGTTCATTTAAGTTGGTCTCTAATTTCTAGAAATTCACCTGCCTTCATCAGTTTGAATATATGATTTTCCAAATCATAGCAGAAATTATTAACAAATTAATCAATCTGAAATTTTTGAAGTAAAGCTCTTTAAGAGGGTTGGGAATGGGGAAGAAACACATGAATAAAGAGTGTCCTGAGACCTCAGAAACACCTTGATGTTTAAAATAAAAATACTCACGCCAACTAACCTATCTGCCACCCCAAGTAAACACATATAATGATGGGGGAGGAGTGGAGGAGGCAATGATGCACATCTTTCTGTTTTTTGGGGCACCATCTCACACATCCACCCTGATTTCTCAGAGGAAACCAAGTGTGGGGAGGTGAATTACTTATCCCATCACAGCTGGTTAGTAGCTGAACTGGGCCAGAAAGCAAGCTGGGCTACTTAGCTCATGAGGTCACCATCACCTCCCCTGCAGACTCAACAGACGGGTGTCAGCAGAGCAGGATCCACATCCAGAGCCACCAGTATCAGAAGAACCAGAAGAGAGGAAGTGGCCCATGTGTCAAAAAAACTCTGCCCTGGTCCATCCACAGGTGCTGACCCAAGGCCTGTGCCTCAGGGATGGGGTCAGGCTATCTGACCGTTAAGGGCCAAATGAGACATGGAATTAGAGGAGCCCCAGACCCAGGCGGCCCCCGACAAAATGACAGTTTTTATTTGCTTGGGTAAAGGAGTGATATGGCTTGGCCTCTGTAAGATGCCAAACACTGATAAATTGTCCCACTCAAATGGCTTCTTCTTTTTTTTTAGTGTTTATTTATTTACTTATTTATTTATTTGGCTGCGCTGGGTCTTAGTTGAGGCATGCAGGATCTTCACTTGCGGCATGCGGGATCTTCAGTTGCAGCATGTGGGATCTTGTTCCCTGACCAGGGATCGAACCCGGGCCCCCTGCATTGGGAGCGTGGAATCTTAGCCACTGGACCACCAGGGAAGTCCCTCACATGGCTTTTTAGACCTAGCCAGCTAGAGTACAGAAAGACCCGGCTTGCCTACTGACATTCTTATTAACTGTTAGTCACTTCTAAAGAACAGGCCAGGTGGTCTAAACATGGAAACTCTGACTAAGCACAAGTTACTTCTCCCCTATTCTGGAGTCAGGTGAGGAACAACAGAGGTCCAGGCTGGGCACACAGGCTGCGGTGCTGCTTTCCCATTCACCACAGACTGGCTAAAATTGCCCACCGGCACATCCACACGTTTCCAGCAAAACACCAACAGGTAAAGTCAGTGGAACACCACATTCTAATCCTCCCACCGTGACCAATACCCTGGAAAAATCCACTTCTGCACCCTGCCTTGGTCCCCTCACCTCACCCAGGTGAATCCCACCCCCACCTTGGGCATGGTTAAAACTGAAGCAATCCCTTAGTTTCCTGGTGTTTCCTTTTCTCTATCTGCCTTCAATTTTGTCCACTTCCACAGGCCTCCTCTACTCCAATCTGCTACTTCCTTCCCTGCCTTTTAACACCCTCAACACTTCCACTCGGTCACCACGAAACTAACTGCCAGCACTGGTCTCACCTAGGAGCCTCCAAACACAAAAGACCTAGCAGAATGGCCACCTCACGATCTTTCCTTGTAGCGTGACAGTGAGGACAGGCACCACGGTGCAACCTAAGTTTTGGGGCTTTTTGGTTGGGTCTGTAATCAGTGATGTCCTTCACCACTTTTTATCAGAAAAGATTAAGACAAACAAACAAACCACGAGGTTCAGCTGCCCTCTGAGGGCAATCTGGATATCAGCAGAGCCTCCTACTGCTCTTTCTCCATCAGCACGTCATGTTGCAATACCCCAGCTTCCCCCTACCCTTATCAACTGTCTTGATGAAGATGGTAAATAATCATGATGGAGGGAGGCTGGCTGGTGTTCACACAGAAGGATGGTGAAAGACAGAAGCAGGGCCTGGTACATGACAGGAAGGCAAAGGCTGTGATTCTGCCATGAGCCTCAAAACATCACAGATGTATATGCCTTTAAAAAAAAAAAAAAATCACTAGTCCCGCTGAACTCAGAGTGGTCTGTCTCTGTCAGCAGAGAGGAGTAGACAGGTCAAGATAGAAAGCCAAGTCCAAAATGCTGGAATCTCCCATCAAACTGCACCAGGTGTAGCTGAACCAATCAGGAGCTAAGCTAAGAATAAGGCAGAGAATGAAGGAGCGGAATGTCACTAAGATGTACCAACAACTTCTGCCCAAGGAGTGCAATTGCTTCTCTTGGGCACCTGAGAAGGGGCTGGCAGTAGGCTGTTTAAATAAATATTAAATTTGTCCTCCTATTGGCAATAGCATCACCACTACCACTCCAGAAGTAGCTGTGCCAGATGAGGGCTGGGACACTTCCGTGTTTAGAGCAGAGAGGGGCACACGTCCCTTCTACTGCTTGCAATGATCTGCCTGGAGTCTACATGCCACCCTAAACTGACCAACAGTACCATTCCAGAGCTTGTCCCGAGGGACAGGAAGCCCCTGCAGGACACAGCCAAGCAACGTGGTCCCTTAGTTCTGTATCTGAGCATGGGCAGATCTGGATTCAAACGTCGGCAGCAGTAAATAAAACTGCAGCATGTGTGGCAGGCAGAATTCTCAGATGTCCAAGAGTCTGGGCCCTGGCTATTCAAACACTAATCTAGGTACTGCTGTAATCAGATGACCTTAAGATAAGGAGATTACCCTGGTATCACAAGAAGTCAGACTCAAGCATGAGAAGGATTCAATGCCACAGAAGGATTCAGTGCATTGTTGTTGGCTTAAAGATGGAGGGAACCAAGTTGCAAGGAATGCAGGCAGGCTCTATAAACTGAGAATTGTCCCCAGCTGACAGCCAGAAGCAGGGACCCCAGTCCCACCACCTGAATTCTGCCAACAACCTGAATGCGCTTGGAAGCATATTCTTGCCCAGAGCCCAGCCTGGCTAACACCTTGACATCAGCCTTCTGAGGCCCTAGCCAGAGAACCCACGCAAACCTACCAAGACCTCTGACCTACAGAACTGTGAGATAATAAATGGTATTCTTTTAAGTTGCTAAGTCTGTGATAATTTGTTACGCAGCAACAGAAATCTAACACAGTACGTAGAGCTCTCAGTAAGTAGAGAGCCACAGTTCAAAATGGCCTGACCTCCTTCAGTGTTAGCCCTTCACCTCCGCATCCTCCCACACTCCCAGACACAAGAGCACAGACTCCTTCTGGACCCCTTTTACTGAAAAAGAGAAGGGTAGCAAGAGAACTGGGGAGGTAAAGACCTTTCCTTACTTCAAAAGCCCACCCTGGGCTTCCCTGATGACGCAGTGGTTGAGAGTCCGCCTGCCGATGCAGGGGACACGGGTTCGTGCCCCGGTCCGGGAAGATCCCACATGCCGTGGAGCGGCTGGGCCTGTGAGCCATGGCCCCTGAGCCTGCGCGTCCAGAACCTGTGCTCCGCAACGGGAGAGGCCACAGCAGTGAGAGGCCTGCATACCGCCAAAAAAAAAAAGCCCACCCTAGGTGGAAAACACCATTTGGAATCCTAATAGAAAGAATCAGATATTTCCCCTTCTACCAATTCTGACCCCTTACACACACCACATGTAGCCTCTATTAGTTGCAGACGAAACCACCCCAGGTCCTGCACATTCTTGCTGGGGAGGCCTTTACCACAACACTTTCTCATCATGTGTTCATAGCAAGCAATCTTGAGGGGTGAAGTAATGTCCCCATCTGGAACAAAGAGCAGGCTTGCTGTAAGAGGTGGAGTGCCCAAGTGTGCATGTTCCTTGGCTCTGATGCAAACCCCCGGCATGCATGGCATCTACCTGCGGCCCCTACATATCACCAGTGTGGGACTTGGGGAGAAAGAAACCAACACAGACATGAAGCTCATGCTGCTCGCTGTGCTCTGAGTAATAAAGTGCTTTGTCTCAAACCTGAGACATCCATTTCTTCTGCTAGCATCCATGAAACAGTAATCATCTAACTTATTAGCTTGCAAGTAGGGTGAAATTCTAGACTCTGACACTATTACACTCAGATCTTTTAAATCAGGAGATCTACTATCTTTACATTATCAATTTCAAAAGAACAAAATATCCTTTTTAAATTTTTCTTGTGGAGATAATAAAATCTACATCACTGGGCTATTGTGGGAATAAAATGAGAAAACACATAGCACACCTGAGATATGGAAAACATCCAATAACTTTCGTTAGATCCCTGCTCTCCCTAGTCACTCATCCTCCCTAAAATCCACATACAATGAACCAGATGGGGAGCAGTATGTCTCCAAGATAGCAGTCCACTCAGAAGACAAGGGATAAAATAGTCTACTACACCAATTTCTGACATTTGCATCACACTGCACTACTCATTAAGGGCTTCCACCCATATTATCTCATTTAATCCCTACACAGAAGCCAAGGTTCAGAGAGGTCAGTCCTTGCAGAACAAACAGTAACTCCACAGGTCTGGAAAAATAGCCATATGGCAGAAGCCTGGGGATGTGGGCTGAGGAAGCATTGCTGAAATGCAGCTGTGATGTTGTTCTAGCAGCACGACTGTATCCTGAAGGCACACTCTTCATCCAGGTAAGCCAAGGGAGTTCCCATCATGACTAGGCGTCCTGAGGAATGTCTGCCCTGCAGAAATGGCTGGAAACCACAAGATAAAGAAACATCTTTTATTTGGATATGCTGATGGTTTTTAAATGGAAAATTTTTAAAGTCCTTAATATAAGAGGCCATCCTGTCCTGGATGAACTTGGTCCCTTTGGTTCCTTGGCAGCTTCTGCTGTGTCTAGAGGCCTTGGGGCCTTTCATCTTGTGACAGTGTCACTTGAGGGTCTTGCTGAGGTTGGAGAAGCCAATGCCAACACAAGTCATCAGCACTTTATCCCCTCCCTTGAGTTCTTCACCACATGGCTTGGTTTCAATTTTAAACATAATCTGGAAAAAGCTCTTCAAATGCCGCAAAAATTCTATCCTAAAAAATAAAAAGAAAAATTTTAAAAAGGGAGGGAGAAATGAAAGGAATTCGGCTTTTAAAAAATTCTTCTCCAGCCTAGAACTGAAGCTTTTAATTTCCCAGATCAGGAGGAATAACTGAAATTAAGAACTTCTATCAATGCTGATTAAACAGCATTTATTTACAGCCTGCCAGATTCCAAAGATGATTTTAAACAGCTTGCAGAGATGCACACAACGTAAGACAAATTAAATAAAGAAAAAGAAAGGAAAAGGTTAGAGGTTAGTCCTACACATGCATTAGAGTGGACATGAATATGGCATTAATCTTCAAGAGGCTCATGCAGAGAGAGAAACACGTGCTTTAATGAGTCACAGTATCATAAGATTAAAACCAAGCAGGGTGACTGCTGCTGATGCTGAAAGAGAGAAGTCTCTCTCTCCATTGTTCAATCTCGACAGCCCTTTCATTCATTCAACAAATATTTATTGAGTGCCTACTATGTGCCAGGCACTGTTCTTCATGCTGGAGATATTGCAGTCAACCAAAAATCCCTTCTCTCATGAAGCTTTCAATCCATATCCTTGAAATATATATATACTTCCTCCATAGTCAGAAATTTAAATAAAGTAAACAAGGCAGATGAGAAGGAAACGTAGGTATAAAATATTTGTGTGTATATGGCTGAAGGCAATACTAAATAAGGTGGCCAAGGGAAGTGCTCACAGTAAACATGCAGAGGAGGTTCAAGGGGCTCTTTCTTGTCATCTGCCTTAAGACAGAGCGATGGCTTCACCCCAAGAGTACCTTGGGAACAGCAATTCCGTGGAAGGACCATGGTACTGGTCTGGCCTAGCGGATTCGGCATCAACCCAGCAAGACTGACCATAGGACTCACCTGGAGAGTTCATTTAACAAGCAGATTGCTGAAGGTTTCAATCAATTGGCAACTGGTGGAGAGGAAGTGTCCATGTGGAAGAGCCCAGAATCACAGGCCACACGTCCCCTCCTCACCCCTTACCAAGCCGTGTCTCCGCAGGGCACAGGGGCCAGAATCCTCCCTGGTGATTCGTACCAGCCCAGTTTGCGAAACACTGGTTTAGTTAAGAACAGATGATCTGCACGTCTTTTTTTTTTTTAATTTTTTAACATCTTTATTGGGGTATAATTGCTCCACAATGGTGTGTTAGTTTCTGCTTTATAACAAAGTGAATCGGTTATACGTATACCGAGGGAACTTTCCTCAATATAATAAAGGCCGTATATGACAAGCCCACAGCCAACATCATCCTCAATGGCGAAAAACTGAAAGCATTTCCACTAAGGTCAGGAACAAGACAAGGTTGCCCACTCTCACCACTCTTATTCAACATAGTTTTGGAAGTTTTAGCCACAGCAATCAGAGAAGAAAAGGAAATAAAAGGAATCCAAATCGGAAAAGAAGAAGTACAGCTGTCACTGTTTGCAGGTGACATGATACTATGCATAGAGAATCCTAAAGATGCCACCAGAAAACTACTAGAGCTAATCAACGAATTTGGTAAAGTAGCAGGATACAAAATTAATGCACAGAAATCTCTGGCATTCCTATACACTAATGATGAAAAATCTGAAAGTGAAATCAAGAAAACACTCCCATTTACCATTGCAACAAAAAGAATAAAATATCCAGGAATAAACCTGCCTAAGGAGATCTGCACATCTTTAATGAAGTAGTTCAGCAACGCTGTGTTGTGCTGCCTCCCAATCAAACCATCCAAACAGTTCTCACACAGAATGTACATGGAATCACCCGAGGAGCTTTCAAAATACTGATCCTGACATGCAGATCAATGGAACAGAATTGAGAGTCAAGAAAAAAGCCCACACACTTGTGGTCAACTGATTTTCAAAAAGGTGCCAAGATAATTCAAAGAGGAAAGAATAATCTCAACAAATGGTGCTTCACACGCAAAAGAATGAAGCTGGACCCTTTACTCACATCACACACAAAAATTAACTCAAAACGGATCAAAGAAGACCTACATGGAAGAGCTAAAGCTATGAAACTCAAAGAAGAAAACACAGGAGTAAATCTTCATGGTCTTGGGTTAAGCAATGATTTCTTAGATACAGCATCAAAAGCAGAGTGAAAAAAGAAAAAATGGATTAACTGAACTTCATCAAAATTAAAATCTTTTCTGGACACTATCAAGAAAGTGGAAAGACAACCCCCAGAATGGTAGAAAATATTTGCAAATCATTTATCTGATAAGGGTCTGGTATCTGGAACATATAAAGAACGCATACAACTCGATTAAAAAACCAAATAACCTAATTTTAAAATGAGCAAAGGATCTGAATAGACATTTCTCTAAAGAAGATATGCACATAGCAATAACCACAAGAAAAGATACTCAACGTCATTAGTTACTAGGGAAACACAAATCAAAACCAACAGAAAGGCTACGATCAAAAAAAAAAGATAACAAAAGTGTGGGTGAGGAAAAACTGGAACCCTCAAACACTGCTGGTAGAAATGTAAAATGGTACCACCACTGTGGAAAACAGTCTGGCAATTCCTCAAAATGTTACACAAGGAGTTAGTTACCATATGATCCAGCAATTCCACCCTAAGGTATACCCACAAGAAAAATGAAAACATACATCCACACAAAAACTTGTACACAAATGTTCATAAGAGCACTATTCATAACAGTCAAAAAGTACAAACAACTCAAATGGCCATCAATTGATGAATGGATAAACAAAAGATGGTTTATCTGTACAATGGAATATTATTCAGCCATAAAAAGGAATGAAGTACTAATACATGCTACAATATGGATGGACCCTGAAAATATTCTGCTAAGTGAAACAAGCCAGTCACAAAGAACCACATATTGTTTGAGTCTATACGAATTGGACAGAACAGGCAAATCTATTACAGCGACAGAAAGCAGATTAGGGGTTGCCTAGGGCTGGGGGCAGTGAGAGGAATCAGGAACAACTGTGAATGGGCAAAAGGGTTTCTTTCCGGGGTGGTGGAAACGTTCTAAAATTAGACTGTAGTTACATTTACACAACTTTGTGAATATACTAAAAACCCACTGAATTGTACACTTTAAATAGGTAAACTGTGTGGTATGTGAATTATATCTCAATAAAGTTGTTTAAAATAACTATTTTATTTGTGAAGTTAAAAAAAAAAAAAGAACTGATACATGGCTCCCGTCCTCACACACTATATACCAAACTAAGTATAAAGCCTACTGCAATGCATTTTCCACCCTCTCCTGTCCCTTTATCCTAGTTAATCTAGTCAAAGGAGGAAAAAGCAAAAAGGGGAAAAGAAAGTCTGAACAATTCCGCACCCTGTCTGCCTGAGATGGGCTAAGAGATGGACAGTAGGAGTCCCGGTGATGGCTGCATGCTCACAGAAAAATCCCTCACTTCTTTGCTCTCTCTTCCACCTTGGATTGTGCTACTTCATCTCCATCTTTAAAATAACGTCCCATTTGCCACCTATTCTACGAAGCCTTCTCTAGCCAGTAACCCCTCTGGGTTTCCATAGCATTCTTGGCTCTGTTTATGGAGTCTAATGAAATGCTCACGAGTAAGTGTCTCACATTTACCCTTGCCCCGCTCTTGGTAAATTATATAAGCACCTCCAGGGCAATGACCTTAACCCATTACACCTGCTAGGCACTGTATATAAGGCACTCAGGAATGGGGCACCCAACAGAATGTGGAGGTTTGGGTTTAGGGATACTTTTTTTTTTTTTTTTTTTTGGGGTTACGCGGGCCTCTCACTGTTGTGGCCTCTCCCGTTGCGGAGCACAGGCTCCAGACGCGCAGGCTCAGCGGCCAGGGCTCACTGGGCCTAGCCGCTCCACGGCATGTGGGATCTTCCCGGACCGGGGCACGAACCCGTGTCCCCTGCATCGGCAGGCGGACTCTCAACCACTGCGCCACCAGGGAAGCCCCAGGGATACTTCTGAGAAACGACTTCAACATTCTTAGCAATTAAGGGAAGTCAATTCTTCCCCTGCTGGCTTTCTTATTTTACTAACCAATTGAAATTTTCAGGTTTTTGCTCTGTCCCAGCCTCACAACCTCCCTAACCCTGCCGTAGGAAAGAAAGAAAACAAACACATCAAAAAAACCCATAGATAAACAGTCCACATCTGTGGGCATAGCTTCCGGCTGGCAGCAACGCAGAAAAAGCCAGCCATCTCACCCACTTGTCTGCATTCTAAGGAGGAAACAGCCTGTTCTCTCTCGCTGCTGCCTCGTTTCTAATACAGGCCCGAGGCACGCTCTACTTCCAGAGCCTCCCCAGCCTACTTCATACTTCACCCTGAATCGTTCAACTGTGCTGGAAAAACCAGACACCCTCCCCAGCTGGCAGAATTCCTAAGAGGCCGCAGCCTCCCTCTGATCTCTTGGAGAAGGAGGGGAGAAACACAGGCTTGAGTGTGCAGGCCTGCACAGTTGCAGCTTTGGGGTATTTGTAGCCTTTGGAATCGTTAGAAAAAGCAAAGTCAGTTCCACTTTTTACATAATGTTCTGCCAACCCTTCAGCCTGTCTGAGGAAGACTGTGTAAGGACTGAGTTAAGGTACATTTCATGATGCCCTCCACCGCCAGCCCCATTCTCCCTAAGTCTCCTGTGGCTGGGATAGCGTAAAGCAACCATGCTCAGAAGCTGAGAAATAACCTCAGGCGATATGAAATACTAACAATATCCTTAAGAAAATGAAAAGCAAACAGAATAAACTCACCCACATCTATATGCAGTTGAACAAAGTCAGGTCCAGGGCCGGTCCGCGTCCTTTTCCACAGCCCCACGCGGCACCGCTCCCCTTTCTTTCTCTTCCAAACACCATACAGTAGACCCACACTTTCTAGACACAGCTCCCCGGCCACAGAGCCAGGCAGAAGAGGCACCCCCGGGACACCGAGGGCAGCTCTGCTCCTCTACAGATAATCCCCGCAACAGTGTGACTGGAAGATTTTTAGACTAACCCTTTTAGGCAA